TTTTAAAAAATTCCTTAAATAAAATTTCATCTACTTAACATACTTCTACTTTATATTAGTTATTTTTACTTACTTTTTTACTACAAATATTAGTATTTATTAATATTAAGTCTTAAATGATTATATTCGTCATCAATATTATTCATATAACACACATTTAATTATGATATTCTATCATTTTTTGAATTTATAAACTCTTATTTGATATTTCATAAAATAATTATATTTTAATTACTAATTGTAAAATTTAAGCTAAATATAAGTTTATTTGTGTATTATATATATTATTTTTATTTTTATTGTAAGCTAATTATACTTAAATAAGTAATTGCACTACTGTTCATCCAAATAAGTGTTTAAATAAAAAAAATCAATGAATTTGTGTTTATGGCTATTTTATTGGTCATAAAAATAAAACTGTTCATTAATTTTTATCTCTGTATGAATTATAAAATATTAATACAATCAATCAGTATATTTACAAGTCTTCAAAAACTGTTAGTAGTAAAAATTCACTACTAATAAAATTTATTTAAAATTTCTTTAATATATTGTAGATTTAAGAAGAAACAAAAAAATAATATGTTTTTTATTGTATCCTCTAAAACTTTTATATTAAATTTTATGAATATTATTTTAAAATAAAATTCTAATATATCAAATATTTATATTTATTTAAATATATTTTTACATTTGATTATATATTATAATTTATTTTATTATTTTTTATTAGTATTTGGATGCCAATTATGATTTTACTTATTTAAGGATTTAGAAAACAAAAAGATTTGTATGTTTTTTCTTACTATTATCTTTGATTAAATAGAGTCATTTTAATGGAAAACTAACATGAAATTTTGAATATTTCGTTTTATAGATAAGAATTAAATTACTAAGAAAAAATAATTATTGCTTGTCTTTCATCTTGCTTCAAGATTTCTGTCCTCTTTGACATGCTGCAATCTATTTGTGCATATCACTATACATAAAATAGAATATGTATTTTTGAAAACATATTTTATAATTATATAAAAATTTAAATCATGAAAAAAGACAATTGAATTAATTTAAAAATAATAATACATACAAACTATAAAATTTGATTTTACTCATATGTATTTTGATTCAATTATAAGTTGGATTTCTTTAATCTATTTTTCTTATAAGATATTCATAAACTAATTGGACAAGATAAATAAGAAAAATATAAATTTAAATAATCTAGGTATATAAATTTTATTACTATTACAACAAGTAAACTAAGTAGTTATTTAAAATATATATATCTTCTATTATGTAAATAATCATTTAATTTTTTTTTTCAAATACTTTCTCTTTGAATAAGAACTTCAAAAAGATTTAAAATAAAACATGCAATTTATTATTGAAGATATGAAAAATTTGTAAAAATCTTAGAGATTCTATAATAAAAAATTAAAATTAAAAAATATAAAAAAATAAATTTAAATTAATATTAGTTTTTTTATTAATATTTTACAATATTACTATACCAAAAAATCTACAAATATATTCCTTCGACTTTTTGTCATTATTATATTTGAAGCTAGTTTTTTCATATTTTTTTAAAATACTATTATTTTTTTTATTCTTTTTTAAATTTATGAAGTTTTTAATAAATTATTCTTTGTAAAGTTTAGATAATTATCTTAAATAATTAAACCATAAATATTTAATTCTTAATAAACAAATTTGAATATATTTAATTAAATTTTGTGTTTTATTTTACATATTTAAGTATATATATATATATATATATATATATATATATACACATATGTGAATTATTAAATTTCTTTAAATTTTTTATAAAATTTTACTTCTTATTTTGTAGGATTATATCTCATACAATTTTTTTTTTGAATGATTATAAATCTATTATATAATTTGTTACAAGTATATTAATGTAATAATGTATAAATTTTATTTTATAAATATATATATATATATATATATATATATATATATAGCCTTTGATTCATCTTTTTTTTAGTCTTAATCTATTATTTTTAGGAAAAAATTTAAAAGTTACTTAAAATTAATCAATTTATATATAATTTACTATGGAAAGATTTTAGAATTTTAATTATTACTAAACTTATTTTGAACACTTTGGGTAAATAATCACTTTATCATTTGCATGATAAATTTTACTACATTTGTTTTTATTAACTGCTACTAAATTTTGTGCATGAAATATAGTCATTAGAAAAAAAAAATTATTTTAATGATTTTGTAAATATTTGAATAAAACATTTAAGATTGTAATATACATAAGGAGTTTTTAAAGCCACATTCCTATTTTGTAATGCCACACCTTTTTTGCCATTTCATAATTCATCCACTCTATCATATGTCCCATATTTTCAAGTCTTACTCATCTCTTGTCTCAACACATCCCTCCATGCTTTCTCCTAGGAAAAAAATGTAATATGGATTAAGACAATAAAGCTTTTTTTTTTCTTGTATATATATGTATATATTTATTTATTTATTTATTTAAGATTTTATTTATTTTTAATTTTGTATTTGCTTCAAATTCTATTTCTTATTGTATTTTTTCAAGTTGAAGATAAAACTAAATAAAACTAGATAAAATCAAATCTAGAATTTGTTTAAAATAGTTTATATAAAAAATTCATAAATCAATCAATAAAATAATAAATTTAAATAAAAAATACTTTGTTATATAGGCATATTTTTGGATGATTTATTAATCTAAATTCCCACAATGGAAAAAATAAATTAAGTTCTTATTTTGCAAGTTCTTCATTCTTACAGGAATCAATATTATATATAAAAATATCTCATTGACTTGAAATGTATACTCCAATTATTAATGGGAGGGAAGAAAAGGGGGGTTGAGAACAAGAGATTGAGGATGGAAAACATAGGACATGGAACAAAGAATGGAAATGGGGATTAAGAACATGAAATAGAATGGATGAATTATGAAATGGTAAGGAGGTGTGTGGCATTAACACAATGAGGATGTGGCTTTAACAACTCCCTATATATATATATATATATACACATACATATATGTGTGTGTGTATATATATATATATATATATATATATATATCTATTTTTAAATATGCAATTTAAAGTGATTTATAAAGGATATATTTTTAAATTTTCTATTTAATACAATAGATATGTTTAATTATTTTTGTAGATAAAATTTAAATATAATTATTATTTTTATATTAGATTCTATGTATATATATATATATATATATATATATATATATATTAAATTAAAATATTTTATATATAATTATTTTACTATAGTCAAGTATTAAAATAATTATTCTCTTGCATATTTAATTAACTAAAGTTTTTCAAATATTATAATTTACAGCATATCATTTTATAATTATTTTATTAAAAAAATTAAATACTTAATATTATTGGCTTATTTGAATATTCCAATATTACATGTATATATTATATATATTTCTTATAAATTAATAATTTAAATTATATTTTATTTTGTAGGAAATTCATAAGTATAGAAAAATTATATTGGAAATTTCATAATAATAACATTATGCTATTAATTTACTTCTTATTTTTCTTAAAGTGAAATTAAAAAGATACATTTGTGTAAATTAATTTAAAACTAAATGTTTTATTTTTTTTAGTTTTAACTCTTTTATTTAATTTGATTTTTTCTAAAAGTCTTATGCCAAAATTATTGTACTTTCTCACAAGCCTTAAATCTTTGATTGTGAATAATTTTCTCTGAAGAAATAGGATTTTGTACTTAATATTTTAAGTATGTTAAAATTTAAAATAGATATAATATAAAATTTAGATTTTGAACGATATATATATATATATATATATATATACATGTATATATATTTATTTATTAATGGACTTCTTCAATAGTAGTATTTCTTTGGAAGAGGATTTTTCTTTGTTCTTTGTAAATCCTTTTACACTATAATATTTCTATCTTCTTAAAAGTATAAATAATATAAACATGTTCTCAGACATATAATACATTTGAGAATGATTGATAAATTTTTATTTAATCATATATTCTTACAATTTTGATACAATAAGATGATAATTTGAAGTAGTTTGGGTCTTCCCTTTAACCTAAAAGAAAAGCCATGTTAAGTTGGATGATTGAATTAAAAGTCCAAAAATATATATATATATATATATATATATATCAGATTTAGTATTGATTTTTTATTTTATTTTATAAGTTGATATTAATTAAAAAGAAATTTATTTTCTTACTTGTTGTAAAACCATGTGGTCCTTTTAAACTTATGCTAAAGTCTTGTGGATCTTTTATTAATTCAAAAGATTCTTCAAACATTGTAAAACAGATTTATTTTATTTTATAAAAATAGTACAACTATTGGTTTTATTTTAAACCAATAGTCATTTGAAAATTTAACAAAGACATAACACAAATTTTCTAAACCTTGATTCAATCCTTCTTTTGAAGAACATCTTCGTAGTATACACACTTGGCTACAAGAGCTTGTACTTTGTTGCCTCTACTCAAATAGTGGCTGGTAAGAATACACAACCACAACAAACAACAACAATAATAATAATAGTAATAAAGAGTTGGTCCAATTCTACAAACAAGTTAAAAAAACAAACACAAGGATCCAAAAGGGGGGTGTAATATAGCGGCAATAGATTTTTAGGCAAAGACAAAGCCCCCCCTTGAGAGAGGGCACTTTGAGCCATGACATAAATAAGGGCCCCCACGAGGGGATGCGAATAGTCAGATGTTATGGCCTTCGCTGAGTTGTTCAGGACCAATCGAACCCCCCCACGGAAGCACATTGAAGTCTTCTAGAAGGTGTCCGATACCCGACCCGGGCATCCAAAATACTGACCCTATTCCAGTTACCCGGATTGAGATTCTTACTTGTTCGAATCAACTACAAACATTCCGGATACGCTGCTCAATCATTCGCAAGGTTGCGAACGCGTGGTCATATCATCCGAACACGTTCCCTTATAGAGGGCTCGATGCCGCGCGGCAATGAGGCCGTTGGACAAGCATCGCTAAGTTGTTTTTGTTGGGGTCGAATTTGTGTGTGTGTGTGTTTTTTTTTGTTGGAGTAGAGTATTGCTTAGAGTACCTCAGGTCAGAATTTGAAGTCGGAGCCCTGTTTTGTAAAGGATCGATTTATGTGGGGGGAGTCGAAGGGTCAGAATTCGTTGCGTCGTCAGTTTTGGCGGCACAACTGCGGGATGGTTTGAATCCCGGCCCTGATTCGTTTCAGGTAACGATTTTCAAACGCTCATGGGGTAGCAGCAGAGAGTGATGGATTCAGCTCGTCTCGAACATGTAGAATTAACCGCGTGGTTGGGGTCTTCGATCGTTATGTGGGGCAATTTGGTCGGGGATAGTGTTGGATGACGGATATACGTAATGTCGCCTGGTTTCAGTGCTTCAGTGGAAAGATCGCTGCGTTTTGGGTGCGTAATTGCGCGGAACTGGTTTCGGTTGTGTTGTTGTTGTTGATGGGCTGTGGATACTTGAGCTGCACAGACCTTTGTGTTGTTTTTAAATGAGGAATTCGAATTTTGAGTTTGGAATGTTTGCGTTGTGACGTTTGTTGTTGGGTTTAGGGGTTTTGGAATGTTTGGATACGGGGTTTCGATCATTGTTTTATGTGGAAATAGTGCCTCATGACCGGTTAGACTGACTTGAAGTGTTGATGTCTCGAAAGCAGACTTTCCTGAAGAAAGCGTCGATGAGGTTTTTTCCATGCCGAGATCTTCACGTCTCCTGTTTCATGACTAGAGATGCTTTCCGGATCTTGGCTTGGATGATTTTAGCCCATAATTGATGTGCCTTCGATTGGGTGCGTCAAGTCTCATCACATCACTATCTTCAGCTGCCGGAAGAGAAGATTGCGAGTACGTTGTCACACCAGATGGCGGAGTTCGACAATAAAACGTGCACCCGACTTGAGGTCCAAGAGTGCATTGAGAACAGGAATTTGAACAAGTCGTTGTTTGTGAAAAGTGAATGGAAGCCGACGAGGCTCGACCCGATGAGCTTCTTTCTTTTCGTCTCTGATGGACAGCGAGCTTGGACGTTTGATGGTATGCCCTTCCCCAATCTTCTGTTTCTCCTTCAAGTCGAATTTCAGTTAGAGGCGTATTGCGTTTTTTTTTTTTCCCCCACTGTTTGTCTTACTCTCATGCTCTTGCATTTTGAGCGCTGCGAAGGCTCCGAGTCGTTTGTGAAGGAGAGGGCTGAAGCTTGGGACAAGAAGCCCCGTTGGGTGATGGAGAAGATCCAATTTTATCTCAGTGTGGCACAACCTGGCGTAAATTATCGGTTTACTAAAATTCGAGACCTTCACAGAAAGGTTTTTCATAACCCTTTTATTGAGTTTATTCTTTAGCATTGTATTTTTTCTTGCTTACATGAAAATTTCTGCAGTGATTAGCCATGAGGATGTCATCCTTTACCTCCAGTCGATTTTCTCGGTCTGACCCTGAAGTTTTTGGTTTATTTCTGCAGTTGTCTTTTGATGTCCAAGACAAGGAATCAGATCTTTACCTAACAGCTAATTTATCAATGCTGAGTGCGTCGGATCCCGAACGCATCACCTGCGACTTGCTGGAGTTTCTACACGACAGTAATTGCCGACTGACGGTATTTCCTGTTCACCTTTTAGAAGTCTATTTGTCAATCGAGATGGGTAGTCTTAGCTCTACCTTTTAAGTGTAATTATGTTGTGTTACATTGTTTCTTTTTAAAAATTCTTCCACATTTTTCACAGCAGAACCTCATCTGATGGTCGTAATTTTATAAAAATTGGTTACAGGAGAGCTTTCTAAAGAAGTGCAGGGATTATGATAGGCTGCGAAGTGAAAGCGAAGTCCTCGTGGAACAAAATAAGCGCTTTAAAGATTTGAAAAGTCAGACTCAAGAAGTCATGTACAAGAAGGTACCCATTCCACATCTGTATTAAATAGCTTTTATTTATTTATATTCATAATTACGTAGAGATTTCTGTGGTTGAAATGTGCTTTTCTTTAGTTTGTGGCAGTCTTGAACAGCAAAAAGGCAAAATTGAAGGAGCTGAAGAAGGAGCTTGAACATTGTAAAGACAAGCAGAATGTCAATGAAAACAATGATAGAGGCGACACCACTAGTTCCAGCGACGACGAAGAAGACGAAAGCGACCACCAACTGCCATCACCATCAGAAAGGTTCGAGGTAGGTATTGCTGACTGACTCTGTTTACAAGTGTTTTAATTTTCCCAAGTTAATTGTCACACTTACCAATAATTCCATAATTGATTGGTGTGAAGCAGGGTGGTGAGAGATCTGGTGAAAGGTTAATCAGTTTGGACGCACGCAAACAATGCCCCATTGCCACCTCCGCTGCAAATGTGGTTCATGCTGATCCAGACGCAACTCAACCCATTTTGGACGAAATTGAAAACGATTTTCTGATTCCTGATTTGCCACCGAAGGACGATGGTCGCAGCAGTGCGGTATCGGCCTTGCTTCAAGACACACCCTACACGGGCTTACCTAGGAAACGGCGTCGAAATTGATGCCTTCTTGTGGATAACTTCATGAGAAATCACAGGACCTTCATCTCACGAATAGAAGCTGAAGATATTCTTTGTAGGGTTTGGTAGGTCCAAGTGCTCCAGGGTACTCCAGGCTTGAAACTATCAAAGCAGTGGAGAGAAACGTTGATGACGTTCTGATTCGTTACCTTTCAAATCATTTTGAACCACAAACAAAATGGAGTGTTAGTGAATTCACCTGGACCGCTAGTCTGATGTGAATTTTACAGCTGAAATGTCTCGAAAAACTTGCCATGCTTGCAGAAAGAGATATCCATAACTTCGCACGCTATACTTCTTTCTTATACTGCTATTCGTTGGCTAAATGTGCCGTGTACAAGTAAAAACAGAAAATTTACTGCCACTGAAAGAAATCAGAAGTAAACTATATGCCACTAACCCTACCGGGGCCACCCGATGGGGTTTGTCTCCCCACTTACAAACCCGGCCCGGCAAGTAAGCTCCTCACTTCAGAGCACCAGCTCAGCGATGATTTGGTGTGGAAATCCACCTCTCCCCCAGGAACCCGCAGTGGTCAAGGAACCCACAAGCTTATTAGCATTCCGGAGCGATGGTGCCTTCGGTCGTGTATGGATTCGCTTCTTGGTTGGGAAGAATCACCGATAATTTTCTGATTTGGGAGACAGGCACGAATTGCAGTTGATATTATTGCGTTGGGAGCGGGACTGCTCGGGTGTCCTTTTGATTTGAAGTTCTGGAAATCCAACGAACCCCGGAATGTGTTTTAGAGCCTTAAACCTTACGAGATGATTCTCGTGCGCTTCTTGTACAGATTGTCACCTCGTTGGATTGATTCTTCTCCGCATTGGTAGTCTATGAGTCGATTGAAAGAGTTGGAATTCAATCACGTGGTGGTGGAGTAGTTCATCAGGAAGATTTTCTTGTAGGGGTTTGAGGTTTTTTAGGTTTTAACCATCGAGGCTTGAGTGGTTTAGTATCGATGGGTGTGAGCGGTTTTGAGGCGTTCTTGTGGAGTAGCAATGTTGCCGCGACGCTTTGTATACTGGAGCATTGAGAGCCAGGGTTTGTTGGGTTTGGAGGCGAATTTGTGAGTGAGATCGCAAGGGAAGTGTAAGCATGCAGTTTTGTAGTCTCCGATGCTCAGGGGCTACGGCATGGTGCGATCATTATGATGCTGTGCAGACGTGCGCGGTTGTGCTGCTTTACCTGCAGGTCTACTCTACCTACGTTGGACTCGTGGTTTTAGCGTACTTAATAGTGTTCATGGTTTGTGGGATTGAGCATAGGGCAATCAATTCAAGCAACAGAAATCGCCATTCTACCTGTGGGTTGCCCAGCACTCTTTTTGCTGGGAACATGAACGAGCATCCTCTGCGTTGATTTGTCGTAGCATCTTTCGCTTGGTGGAGAAATGTGTAGAAGGCTTTTGTTATTTGGTTGTCTGGGTGGGAGGATGGATTAGGTCCAACTTGAGCGAGTGAGGTTGATATTCTTAGCTCGTTTGTGGTTCTTTTATGTAAATTTCTTTACTCGTTTGTTGACATGATCACTCAAGCTCTTATGAAATGTTTGAAGTATTCAATGGGTTAAAAACATTATTTCACAAATTCTGGAGCGTCTGATTTATTATATTCTAGGCTCTGTTTAGGCATCAGCCTTCTTCATCACTTATGCAACTGTTTGTTACCGACCATAGATTGGTGCGTAGCCTGACTTGGAAGAGATTCTGTAGGTGGCTTGTGCACTAGTCGGATCATTGGGCGCTTTATACACGGGCATCGTGTTGGCCAACTTGGCACTCGCATTTTTTGCCTTGATTGCGATTGAAAGTGGCAGCCAAAGCCTGGGTCGTGCATATGCTGGACTTTTAGGTCTTTCTCTCATCTTGGACGTGGTCTGGTTTTGCCTTTTTACCAATGAAATCAGGTGGGTATGGTTCCCTTCTTGCAAGCGTTTGCAAAAGATGTGCTGTTGCTACTTCTCTGGGCATTTTTATACGCAATTCCATCTTGTACGTTGTTCGGGAAATGGAGAGTTTAATAAAAATTCTCAATGATACCGCTGCTTTACGTTGATTTTGACGCTTAGAATGGTCTCAGCTTCTTGCCTCAAATCATGGGGATTACTTTCTCCAAGGAATAATGTTGATTGTGACCACAGGCACTTCTGGAATGAAACACAAGTGGGGAAGTTTGGGGTCTTCTCCTTGAAGCTAATGTTCTGGATGCAAGCAACAGGAAGTGGACTACGCTTCATTTCGTCCTTTCTGTGGTGCCAAATGTACAGACTGGGTGCGATATCAGGAACATTGGCTGCACAACAACCCGTCGACTTCGATGCCAGCACTTCTATTCTAGGTGCTTACAGTCTTGATGATTACTCACTCAGGGTAGATACAGAACCCGACATGGTCGGAGGTTCAATTTATGATCGCGCTGCCTATTCTTCTCTCTTCAGAAGTTTCAGTCGTCATGAGGACCTTACAGTTGAGGTAAACATCTATACTGCCTTAATTATTATTGTGCTAAACTTGCACTGATCTCACTGATCTTTTTGAAATTTTGTAGCTTCCGTGTCAAATATAGCGGCACATCGATTTTAAAGAATTCATTTAAATTATGCGGGACCTCATTGTTTTGTGTATAATCTGGAATTTCGATCAGCTTTTGACAGTATTTTTTGTGATTCAGTATTGTTGTAATTCTTCGCACAATGCTCATCAGGCTGAGAGAAACCAACATTAATCGTGTTATTCTCTACAGATCATTTCATTTGCCGTGGCACTAGTTCTTTCATTTTGTTCTGTAAATGTTAGCAGCAAGTGAATATTCGTGTACAAAAGCTCATGTTCGACATTACAATGCCCAGAGAGTTGAGGACGGGAGTCAACTTCAGAGTGCGCTGCTGCACGAGGAGCCCTGATTAGAGGCTGGGGACTGAACAAGCATTTCTATTCTGATTTGCAAGATGGATTCAGCTACCGTCAAGTATGGCTGCCGAATGTTGGCCATGGCAATTGATTCATTCAGTCTGTCAAGTCATGATGCACTTGTCTCGCTCTAGGTCCGAGTTGGTTTAGCCAATTTTTCTATCCAGCAGGTTTGATCTTCCACAAACACTCTTTTATTGAGGGTCCTGATAGATTGTCAGATGGTTGCTCTCCTTGAGATCAAAGGGTTGAGTATAAGATTGCAACATGTAGAAACCCTCAGAACATGCTCATAGAGAAAACTTGATGTGCTAGCCTGGTCAAGTGTGTAGGTCGGAGGCGTGTTCAAGTGTGTAGGTCGGAGGAGTGTTGTCCTACAGGACAGCAAATGTATTTTAGATTGGACACTTCCACAGACTGCCCAAAACTAGCATCTTAGTGTTTTGTACATGTTAACCTTTCAAAAGAATTGGTCACAACCTGTCCATGAATTCTTTGAAGCACAGTTTTATCTCTAGATTGTACCATTAGATTGTAGCAAAATCCAATCCCATGTTATACTTTTCGAGCATGATGAGCTTTCATGTACTGCTCATTAAACAGATGTTTGATAAACAGAGGATTTTCCATCTTCAGCTTTAGTCCTTGACACTCAATTTTACGGAAAACAGATTGTTTGTGTGTTCTCATAGCCCAACAGAGACATGACCATGTTATGAATACATTTTACGAATTTGTACCTAATTTTACATAGTGCATTTTTGGCCTTTGACAATGCAATCCACTGACGTGTAACTAATGCTGATTGAACGACCGAATTCTGATTTAAAAATCTCAAAATATGTCGTGCAAATACCGTAATTAATAACCGTAATTTCTTGATGTGATTTGATTTGATTTTTTCGTGGTTTATTACATGCTGATTCAAATTCCTTGATTTGAGGTTTTTTTGCACTTTGTATGTTTCTTGTTTATGCTAATTGTAGAGTTTGGAATTTTTGGTTGTAAAATTTTAGAAAACTTCCTAAAACTAATGAAATCAATAATAATAGAAACAATACAAAATTCACAAAAAAATACTTACAAAAACATCAAAATGTGAAATAGCTAAAAACCAAAAGCAACTACCAGCAAATTACAAATTTTTGTCATCACAATTTTCTTTTTTAACAAATTTTTAGGATAATATTACTTTATTCTTGGTGTAATTGTTATTAGTATTTGTTTTATTTTATGTTGCCTAATTTTAAGTGACCTAGTATTTTCTATTTTTTTCTTACATCTTTACCATCTTGTAATGATACTTAGGATTAAAAATTAAAAAATAATTTCCATATCAATTCACTCTTTATTCTAGAAACAACCATTTCTATAATTTATAATAAAAAATTCTTAAAAATATACATTACACTATGATTCTATTGCTTGTAAATTTTTACATGCTTGTGAGTTTTTAAGATACATGCATTTCATGCATTTGAAATATGTTCATAAACAGTGAGGCATAAAAATTACAAAGTTTCAGATTTACAAATTAAAAAATAATTATTACTTTGTAAAAGAACATATGTTTTGTTTTTTTTATAGAAAAAATATTTAATTTTAAATCTCACAGCATAATTTATAAACTCAACTTTTAAAGAATATATATATATATATATATATATATCCACATACATACATATAATTATTTTAAAATTAAAATATTCATAAAATTATATATATATATATATATATATATTTAATGACTACATGTGTGTGCATAAATATACACACACACATGCAGTCATTATCAAACCAAATCAAATATTTCCATATATAAATCAAATAACATTATATTAATAAGTTTATATGAAATAAAATAAATAAAATGAATAACTAAATTGTGTTTAATATACGTATAAGATCAAGTAAAAAAGAAATATAATAATTGATGCTAATAAGAATTGATTAAATTATAATATTCTTAGATAAAATTGTTTAAAGTTTTTGTATAATATACCAAGGGAGAAGAGATCTCAACTTCTAAATCCTTTGATTAGTTGAAATTAAGATATCTATAGGTTTTGTTTAAACCTATGTTTGTTTAAAAATAACTAAATTAGCAGTAGAATATTAAATCAACCTGCCTAAATCTTAAATCAATCTACCTTATTTCCATTATTCAATCTTTGTAACGACTTCTCTAATTTAAGAATATGAAACATGCAAACTCATTCATTTAAGAATATGAAACATGCAAACTCATTCATCCTTGAAAGAGAAGGGATTTTGCCTTGATTTCTTAACAAATATGAAGGTGTAGCAACTATGTTTTATGGTACAAGAAGAGGAGGAGAGAATAGATGGCTTTGGGTGAGGATATGCTTCTTTAGTAGATGTGCTAGAATTAGGTGCCCAAGAGTGCTTCAAAATTAGAGCTAATGCAAGAGAATGTGAAAGAGACTCCAAATCCCTTCTCTTTCAAGGATGAACTTGGGTTCATCTTTGCTATTGTCAATTGAGTTTATCAGTTATTTATTCACAATTAGAAGAAATAATCATAAAGATTGAATTTTGGAAGTGAGATGGATCAATTTTTTAAATTTAAGTAGACCAATTTAATGTTCTCTAATTAATAACATAAATATAATTAAAATTAAATATTTGTATCTTTAGTATTTTAACTTAATTTAATAAAAATTCTATAATTTATTTATTTTAATATATGATAAAAGAAGAAAAAAAAATCAATCCAATGGCACACAAAGACTATGTATTAAAAATATACTTCTTGGCCCCTTTGAGTACAAAAAACATGACCTTTAAGGATTTTGCCTTATAAAATTGCAATCTGAACTTCATTTACCATGTGATGAACAAAAATCATAAACCTTGTTTTTCTGATTCATATTAATAAAAATATATAATATGTGGGAAACAAAGTTTTTAAAATGTAAACTTATAATACACCTTTTTTTTCCTCATATATATATATATATATATATTTTTGTTCTTACAAATAAAATAAACTAGTTATTACTGTGATGCACGAACAATCACCATTGTAATTATGCCACATTTATGCGTTTGAAGATAAATTGATTGGAATAAAGTTAGCACATAATATTGGACAAAACAAACTGATAATTAATTTTCACACATCTTACAGTGCAAATGGAATTAATGACATGTTCAGACAGAGATATTTATATATATATAAAAAAAAAAATCATAATCAATACATGATTTTATCTAACATCTTTTAATTTAATGATGTAGAATTGATTGGATCAAAAGTTGAAACAATCATTTTAAAAATCACAATTAAAGCTCTTCCAGGATATACATATTTACAGATATTTCTTACAAAAAGGGAGTAAAGTTTCTCAAAAAGCATAAAACTACTACAGTTGTTGTCTTAATTACTAATAATAAAAAATTAAAAAAATATCCAAAGCTATAATTTCAGAAAAATAAACGCCTATAAATAAACTCGCTTTATCAATTAACTAAGGGGTGTTAATTGATAAAGCATGGGTTGGCAATGCAAGTATTCCTGTAAAGCAAAAGCAGGCGGTGATGTATGTTCTGAAAAAGCTAAAGTTTCCACAACCACGGATGAACGATTTCGGGGAAGTTCCACGAATGATATCATCCGTCCAATTCGGAAGGGGCCTGGAACCGCGCCGCGGTGATGCGTCTTTTCACGGTAGTCGGCGTCATTCCGCGTCACTCCCTAGAAGCACGGGCTCAGGAGTATATTAACTGTGACTCTCAACTCTAAACTACAGCGATTGTCATTTCCCATGCAGAAGCTCGACGGCCGATCAAGGGGTTCAGGTTTTGTTGATTTCGAAGAGAGAGAGAGAGAGAGAGAGAGAAAGAGATTAGCTCGGTGCCGATGGCAGCAACGAAATTGGTTGGACCCATTTCTTCAACGAGCCTGATTCTTCTGCCGCTCGTTGCTCTTGATTTCGTTGCGAATTGGCAAAGAATCAATCAACCCATTACCGAGATAACGGGAGCCGTGGGGTCTGGATTGAGGATGGAAGAACACATCTCCTCGTGGAGATTAGTTCCGGAATGCCAGACAATGTTCCTTGTAAATCAAGGCGGGTGTTAGTGCATTGTTGGAGTTTCGGAGCAGCACAAGAGACTGTGATTCGAGTAAAAGAGTGGGTTGGACGTGGTGTATAAGCGAATGCGTTGCTGCTGTGTGGTGGGGATGAAGAAGAAGAAGGGCGGTTTCATGGGGGTTAGTTGAGAGGTGGTTGACGTTGCGGATCATGGCATGGGCTTCCGAACTTGAATCGGAAGTTCCATTGCACTGTCCAACTTTAGTAGATACTTTTGCATTCTGTGATTGCAGTGGTTGAAGATGTATGAGACAGTGTGTTCTGAGTGTCGTAAAGTCACACAAGTCGTGGAAGACCGTGCCGCAGGGGATGTGTTGTGTGCGGAATGCGGGCTTGTGCTAGAGCAGCGTTCGGTAGATGAAACTCGGGAGTGGCGATGGTTTGCGGATTCATCTTCTATCGATCGAGAGCGTATAGGTGGCCCTTCCAATCCGCTTCTTGCAGATGGGGGGCTATCGTCCTTTATATCCAAGTCTAATGGTGCACAGGGCGACGTCATGTCCTCTATTCTGCGGCAGTCGAAATTGGGCCTGATTCCTGATCAGTCTCGTATCATTGCGTTTCGGTCCATTGGGAATATGGCGGACAGGTGAGCTTCATATTGGTTTTTTCTGCTGTTTTGAATCAAAGTAGTCTTTCGTCCAGTTGACAGTAAAATATTGTCAGGTTGGTTCCGCACTCTTTGCGATTCTGGCCAACGACACTTTCAACCCTGCCATTGTGAATTCAGCTTGAATTAGACACTTGCCGTAACTTTTTATGGATGTGGAGCCTCGAATTGCATCTTGTTTTCTTGAACATTTTAACTAATGAAGGATTTATGATGCGGGGCGTGATTCAGACTTGGACTGGTGTCAACAATCAAGGTGAGCAAGTGTTTTTCAGTTGAAGCATCTTGTTAGTCTACTGGCGCTGGAGTTCCTTTGCGTTTTTGAAAATGAGAAGGTGACTTACTATTTTGGGGAAGCTAGTGTCGATACAGTATATTGAGTGGTTCTTTTACTTCCCTCTTCTTTGGTGTGAAGGATCGGGCTAATGAGATATATAAAAATGTGGTAGACCTGAAACTCACTCGCAATCGAAGCCATGAGGCTATATTGGCTAGCTGCTTATACATTGCTTGTCGGCAGGAAGATAAGCCTCGTACATTCAAAGGTTGCATTCCCTTTCGTATGCCTTATTATGAATTCACCAGTTACGTGTGATCATTGTTATGCTTACATGTCATTTTTGTCATAATGTTCAAGATACCTAGAGCTTTTAGAGCGCGGGCAGTGGGACGCTGCTAAGTTTCTACCTCGATCACAGCTTATTCAAATTTTTTGGGACTATACTTACAGATGAATAACTGTGAAGGTTCTCTTTGGATTGAGCTGTATGGATAGTACGGTTGATATACTAACTTCTAGTGAGTTGTGCTTGTGATATAAGTATGGCATTCAGGTTGCTTGGGTCGAACTGTTTGATTCGAATCTGTGGACTAATAGATATTTTTCGTTGAGAAGAAATATGTTCGGTTTCAAATGGAGCATCAAAGACGGACACTGGAAGAATTACCAAGAAGCTTGTGAAGCAAATTGAAAAGGGAATGGGTATTTCCATGGAAATGGGAACCATTCATGCAGGCGACTTTTCGGTACGTCTACGTTGAGCTTCATTTTATACATTGGCATTTATTAGAGCTCAAGTACGTAGCTAATCAGTCGAGGTAATCACTGACGGTTGTAAATAGAATTTTCCTGTTTGCAATGCTAGTTAGGCATGTGCATTGTATGCAATTTACCATCGTTGGACTAGATAGTACCTAGAAGAGCTCCTCTTTAATATTTACTTCTATTGTGACAGAGGAGATTTTGCTCACACCTCGACATGGAAAAGAACGAAGTTAGAGCTATAACGGAAACAGTTAAGAAGTCGGAGATGCTGGTCATTGGGTTGGTGACGTCTACTCCATGTTATATATCCTCCTAATTTGGAGCATTGACCTTCTATTAACTGGCTTGAGTTTCGAAGGCGATGTATGTCGGTTCAAGTTTCATATTATCACTACACCTTGTTGTAAAGTTACCACTGTTTTCATCGTGTCTCATTCGCATTTGTTTGTGGGTACACGCAGGAGGAGTCCTTTATCAGTCGCTGCAGCTGCAATATTTATGATTTCACAGCTAAACGAAAAAGACAAGAAGGAATTAAAAGGTGTTTATTCTTATCGAGGCTTTGTGGTAATGGCAGTGCGCTATCAAGTTCTTGGATCCATACTTGGTCATCTTAATTTATGAAGTAACATACCGTATATTTGGGACTGTTAATAAACTCAATTTCTGAAAGCAATTTCTTGATGTTTTGTCAGATATATCAAGGGTTGCTGGAGTGAATGAGGAGAGTATTCGATTCATGTACAGGGAACTTTACCCGCACGCATCCAAACTCATACCCGAGTGGTTTCTCAAAGATGTCGATTTGAAACATTTGCCGGCTCTTTAGAGCTTCATCTTTGATCTGTAGAGCGGAGGAGTACCCACACCCAAGAAGCGGAATGTTTTGAAGGACTAAGTCAGGCCAATGGTCATTGATATTTTGTAGCAGCTGCATATATTTTTCGCTCAGGTCACACGCTGCTTCGTCTTTGCTCAGGTTTTTCAGGCAACCCGGAGAGTATGGCATTCATTGTTGTTGGGTATCTAACAACACTTGAAGATGAGTGATGGTCTTAAACTTGGTGAACAATGCTTCACACATTTTAAAAACTTTACTTGGAATTAGCTTCAGGACAAAGTGGTGAGAATGATGAGCAGAAACTTGACTTCAATTGTGGACATAGAACGGAGGAGTGCATGTGCATCAGGATGAAAACATTTATGAGAGTGAAAGCTCTTGTCAACCATATCTGGCTGTTGTGATTATTACTATTATTTTTAACTAGTTATATCTTTTCTATTGTATCTGTTTATTGAGTTGCAGCTTATCGATGAGCCATCGTAATTGATTTTACTTTGGAAAGTCACACAAGAAACATTTAATGGAAAAATCTTTTCTAAATTTACTTATTATTTAAAACTTAATTGTCATAGCAAAAAGATTAAAAAATATATACTTAATAATTGTATTTATCAAATAAAGGTGAATTTTCTATGTATAAAACTTTATTTTCTATTTATTAAAAGTAGTGATTTTTGTTTTTTTGGATATGTATTTAGCTTATGTATATTTGAAAATTAATTATCACTTATAATAATTATAATAAAAGATAAACCATGTATTTATTAGAAGATGTACTTTTCCTTAGCATTAAAAAAGTAAAAATGTCTTCTATATTTATAAATCTTTCTAATATTAACAGTTATTATTTTTATTTCTTTGTACTAAAAGAGTGAGATGAAATGAAGTCATATTTGTAATTGTGATATTTGGCCAGTTCAAGTGGTAGAAGATGGATTTATGATTTTAAGTATTATTAAAAAATACCATTAAAAATCATAACATAATCTAGTTCAGCTAATATTATCTTTGATCACAGTATAATGGATTATTAGTATTTTTAAATTTTATAAAGAATGATTCTATTATTTGAAATAGAATACTAATAAGTGTATAGTTCCAAAAACTTATTTAAAATATCTTGTTTACAAAAAAAATACATTATATACATTATACATTAGATATATTATAACAAATGAATCTAACACAAAATTTGTAGTTTAATAATTAAAGGTTTATCTTTATATAATAAAATCTAATGATTATAAATATAACTATATAAATATAAATAATAATAACTTCCCTCCTCTCAAAAAATGGATTGTGTGTGTGAATTTCTTTTAAGGCTGTTGGTTATTAGTGTATCATAAGCATCATATTTGATAATAATTTGTACTTGACACAAAGACAAGCATATAGAGAGAAGTCATGAATGTCAAGTTGAATATGCAGCTTTTGATGCCAATTTGCATTTTTGAAGGAAGGCATGGAATAAGTACATTTGTGCATTGTATGAATTTATTATTACAAGTTTGCAATCCTAGCAATCTTGAGCAAAGAACATGAGCATGCACTTGAAGAAGCACATGATTCTTACACCATTTCTAGAGTCCTCCACAATTGCACATACCACATTAAGCAAGAGCTTGTAAAGAGTCACACTATTTCATACAAAAGGATACAGACAACATATCTTTAGTAGTATAGATTGAATGAGGATTAGAAGCACCTCTTGCATGCAAATCAAGTCCAATTTTATCAAAAAAGTAGCAGAATTAGGAAGAACTAGGCTCATTTGAAATTGAGTTGTTGGCAAGTAGCCTCTAGGTTTGGTGAATTACAAACATAGTGGATTCAATTATTTGTCTGCATTCAAGTCTTGGATTTATTCAATATGAAGGGAATTCGACAATTCCAATATAGAATGTAGTAGCAAGGAGAGTACTTAGCTTGAGATGAAGATATTGATAACCAACAACCTCAACAGGATTGGATAACTTATCAAGTACTTCTCTAATAACCAATAGCCTTGGAAGAAATTCACACACATGGTTGGCTTTTTGGAGAGGTTGGAAGAGGGACATGAGAGTTGGGATGGAAGATAGGAATGGGATATAGGGTTGGGAATGGGAACAAGAGATGGGGGATTGGTACATGGGATGGAGATCCACTGTTGATTATAATAATGGGATCAAAATAATGATAGGTAGGGTCGATTTAATATGTGTATATATATATATATATATATATATATATTATCTATCTATCTATATATATATTAATATCTTTTAAGTTATTTTCTTATTCTTTTACTTGTTTTTTTGAATTCCATGAACAATTAAGCATGTTTCCAGGAAACAACCACTATTTCTTCTAATTCAAATTTATAATTATAAAAAAAATAATTTAGAAATACTTAATTTAATGAAAATTTTATTAAGTTATTTATTATTTTTTACATTAGCACAACCATAATATATATAAACTTATTTTTGTAGCTAAAATCATATTTAGCTAGGGTATTTAAAATGTGTATTATTAATTTATTGATAGAATAAAAATAAAATGAATATCAGAAAATACATGTTCATTATTATTTTATAATTTTATTTATTTATAATTTTTTAAAGAATAATTATGTTTCAGTAACAAATCAATAACCAACCAAAAGTTTCCAAAAATATCTAGTAATTCAACTTTTAGATGAGACATTTTATTTTATTTTGTTTCGATTTTTTCTCAATTTATATGCTTAAGGAAATATATTCAAAACAAAGACATTTCACCATGTGTAGTTTTAAAATGAATTTGGAATCATTATCTTAAATGAAGTACTTGTTTTTAAAAGGTTATGATTGAAGAAGACTCCATGTATGCAAATAGTATTCATATAATGATTTGATAAAGTTATAAAAATATTAATTTACACCAAATTTATAGAAAATTATGAAATTGTACTAGTCAATATTATGATTTACTCCATTAATGTAAAACTTGTTATAAGAAGGGGGTAAAAAGTTATAAACATAACATAAAAACAAAAATAAAACCAAATTAGATGGATGAGAATTCCAATTGATACCACTCACATTGTCCGGGTGTCATACGCAATGCGGGGTTAGGGTGGATACCCAAGTTACTTCCAGGGTATGAATCCCGATGAGATGATTGAACTCTTTGAGTTTCTGGGAAGTGTTTGCGTAGGCGGCGTGAGAACAACTTCGTCAATTTCCAATGACCAGTAATCGTTCTGTCATTTCTTGCGATTGTAGCTGATTTTTTCGCATCATCGAATGATTTCGCGGTTTTTTTGACGAATGCAAAGACATCCTCTAGCTCTAAGTTTAGCATTGTATGGTAAGTGCTGGAGTACTTAAAAGTTTCTTCATAAGTGACAGAACAACTTGACGATCGGGAGTTTTGATTCTTCTTCATTCTAGAGATCGACATTATCCCATTCGTGGTTGTAGTACACGAGCGGTTCGTATGATGCTTTGAATGGATACTTTTAAAGTTTCGTGGTCGCTAAGCTTCTGGTTCCAATCGTTGATTAGAAGGTGGTGAAGATGTTATAATTGTTCCCGGACGGATGAACGCTATTATTTTTGCTTGGTTGCATCCTGCTTCTATCCAGGTAAAGATTCTTGAAATTATACCATTGGTATCGAATTGTCCATTTAAAGCGTGAGAAATGTGCAGTTAGCTACACGCATGGAGGAGGAAGCCGTTACGAAGCGATTGAAAGCAATACAAGCTTTGATGCTCTCAAATTCGGCGCTGCGGTGCCTCCTGACAATGAAGTGCCGACGATCAGGTTGTCGCCGTGGTTGACAATTCTGTGCATTTACATTACAAATAGATGCTTGAACATGACACTGACGGGAAATGGTGTGAGAGGTTTGCAGCTGGAGAACCGCATCCAAAATTATTTGAAGAGGAGCCTGTGCCAGAATTGTCAAGGGTGCGATCATTTAATTTTATTGAAATGCGTAATGTGCGAAACAGGTTAATCGGGTCTAGGAATTCTTTTCAGTGTCTCATTGAACTCTTGGCAGGGAATCTTGTTCAACCTTCTCTCAAAACTATGAAATAGTTATGCTCAAACAAATTCTAGGAGGCGAAAAATCTCAAGTACATATTTTGTTTACGCCTTCTGTAGAAAGTATCATTGACCACTGCATTTTTTTGATCCATCCGCGAAAAACCTGATAACGTCCAACAGTTTCTGGCTTACAGCGATATGAGCAGCTGATTGAAGCCGTAAAACTCCTGCAAGAAGATCTGCTCTTGGAGCGCAAGAAATCCGAGTTGAGATGTTGTCGTCAGTTCTACTCTGACATCGCAAGATTGGTTCTCTTCATTGCGGGCAGTCTGGTTGCCTTGGCAATTTTTCATCCCGCTGTCATGTGTACTGTGAAACTATGTTTTGTATTCTCAAGCAAATAAATGTGGATGGATAGCGAGATACCGTACGGACGCCGGAACACAATCATTTCGACACGCTAACTTTGTTGGCATCCATCTTGAAATGCTATCAAGTGCAAGCAAATCAATGACGTTTGGTTCAGCTGAATATGCCGACGTTTGAACATGATTTGATAAAATATAAAGGATACATTGATAGCAACTAACATCACATGTAGAAGTTTGTTTTACAGAGCTCAATCTACTTCTGTGTATATTGAAAGGGGAAAGTCTTCCTTGGATCAGAAACAACGGGGCAGAAATTTTGTGGTGTTCTTGTTACTCTCTGACCAATTATTTATGATTGTGTACCAGTTGATTTACAATATAAGGTTTTCCAACTTTCAGGTTGGAATCCTCATTTGCCCATTTGAATGAAGAGGACACCCCTGCATTGTGATTTCCAATTGGATTTCCAGTTGAAAGAGTTGTATATAAATATTCTGTAGTTCAGGTTGTTCTAACCAGTTATTCTAAGATACTCAAAACCTCTTGAGCGTGTCCTACAAGACTTCTGGAAATTTAGCTACTACAGGATCTCGATGCAAGAGCAACATTAACACGTGTTGGCTGCAGCAATTGGTGAAGCGTAGAGCACAAATCAGCAGAAGAATTATGTCGTTGTTCCCACGAATGTCCTCACTTTTTCTCATGTTTCTTTGTTTTTACTTCTGAGTGGGATGTAGACGTTTGAGCTTCAATAAACTCTCGCACGCAGGCCGGGACAGTTACAGTACCTAAAACACGATCACGCTGGTTGACCACTTCGTAAGTATGAAGATGGTTGAAGATGAGCATACAAGGTACCAAGTAAGTTCATAGAGGCAAATTCTCCAGTAAGGCAAGCTTCGAGGGAATAAACCGTACCTCCACTGAGTTCTTGGAGGGGAGTTATTTTCAATCGAGTCTACATCTTGATTGAACCATGTAAAAACCAAAAGCCATTGCAGAATCGAAGTGCAATATGCTCTTCTCCACACTTACAATGTACACTTACAATGAGCTCAACTTGTACAAGGATAGACCTGATTGCTTATCGATATCTGCAGTCAGCCACCTTCTGCAGTGACTCACCATTGTACAGTAGTCTTTTTAACCTCTGTGTAGTCTCCAAATGGCTGTTGCAGAGGAGGGTCACCTGAAAGCAGACTTGGAATTCCATTCATGTCCAATATTTTTTTGATGTGATGTTCTTCAAGTTCAGTCACGGCAAAATTGTGATAATTGAGAGGCTGTTGATGTGACATTCGACCTTGGCAGCTCCCTTGCTCGGAATCTGGCATGAGATCAAATGCATTAAAATTCTAAATTACAATCTGATAGTCTATCTGACTGTTTGATGGATCCAGATGGGGTTTTGAAGTCAGGGATGGGGCTTGACCTGAGACCTGCCTTTTCTCAGAGCAGCAGCAGCAGGGGTCTGCCAAGCTTCTTCTACCACGGTGGTAGGAACATGAAACAGGAAATGATCTATGATCAACACCTACCCACACACAACGGTACGTTACTACCTGGATAACGACTGATGTAGTTTTTCTTCAGTCACCTGTTCAGGGTGAAGGACGGTGACCCATGGAAGACTGACGTGCATAAATCCCTGGTTACTGACTCAATCATTTCACTGTGTATTCAAGAATCAAACGGCCTGATTTAGTGTATAGCCAGTGTGAGTAAACTTCATAACTTGCTGTCAAGTGGTTACCATCAAATTTTAATCTATTGTCTTGTCAAGAAGGTGTAGTTGTAACTTAAAACTTCCACTCATTTATTTGTTTGATTGCTAAATAAGAACAGACTGCCGGAAATTTGGGTGGCATTTTTTCTGTGACCTGCAAAGTCAGCCTCATGCATGGCTCTCCTTACTTGTTGGCAGTCCTGAACCTGCAAGATGCTACCAAGCAGGTGCTGGAGCACGCGTCAGCAGTGCACATGGACATCAGCCTAGTCCATGGCCTTAATTTCCTGCATCTCCTGGTGCAGATGCTCCCTTTTTGGAACTGGGGAGTTGCAATTTGCAGTGAATTGCTTACCGCCTTGGGATTGCCGCTATCCACGCCTGTGCTGAGATGGCATGCATTGAAACTGGCATTGAGATTGCAAAATTTAGTTCAGCATCTTGTTCTGCAGGATACAAAATATGTATATATCTATATATATATATATATATATAAAATGTTTGTTATGCAATTTAGATATATGATTGGTTGGAAACTGGAAGTTGTTCTACAGACCTTTGCACTGAAAGTTGAGAAGTTCATGCAAAGAAAATTGAGGATGGATGAAATGTTTGTAAGGAATCTCATTTGGTTAGTGGTCATGTGGCAAAGTAAATTTATCTTGTATTTTTTTCTTGTAGAGTGTTCTTATAACATCAATCTAGACAATAAAAGGTGGAAAGTTTGGGTGGTTAGTTTCCCACAATACAATTTTCATCAACGATACTTTTTTGTTATTTTGTCAAGCCTGTTGCAATGTTGCAAATTCGCCTTGTCAACATGATTTATAATTTTTAACATGGTTAGATTTATATTTTAAAGTTGATTTTTCTATTTCATACTTTAATGAACTTTGAGGTTGTCCAACTGTGATTGATTGAGAGTCGTTTTTCTTTTTCGTTTTCTTTTTTCTTTTTTCTTTTTTTTGAATATTATCTATTATTTCTTACATACTGAAAATTTTATTTTGTGGGATTGAAATAATTGGAGTGTAACTTCTACCATTAGACAACTATATTTGAGACCCCTTCCCCACCCACCTACCTCCGATAAAAGAAAATCACATTAAAATAAATAATAAATAATAAATCACAAAAAAAGATGTTACATATGCATATTATTAATGGCTGAAAAAATAATTCCATTTTCAATTTTTATCTTGTTGTTGGGTATATATAAAAATAGCATGTGAAAGTATCATAAGCTTATCATAGCATTGTAGTTTCAAACAAAAAAGCTTGCCTTCTATTTGTTTGTTGTTTGGTTTTTATATCATGCTAAATTCAAGAGTAGAAATTGAGGCCTATAAGTGAAGTGGTCAAATGCATTACAATCATGATCATGATTTGATCCAACAATGTTTGTGTTGATTTATTGGTTACATGAACCATGGGAAGAAGGACATGTGGTTGATTATGTGCAGAGATCTATAATTTAAGGACTAAGAGCTCAAAAGTAATATTTTGGAAGACAGAAAAAGGTGCGTGTAGTTTTGATGGAATTGATGTGGTGGGAGTTTTATTAAAGTAGTTTGATGGAATAAAATTACAACCATGTAAGTGCACATTAACAAATTACAGGGATCTCCAAAGAATGGTTGGTCATTTTTTGGAAAAAAAAAATATGAATACATGTTTTAAATCTTGCAAAATGAGAAATTGAAAATAACTTCCCAATTACTTCCACAAAAATATATATTTTTTTAATTTCTAAAGGCTTTGAATAGATAAATATATGTACATAAGTAACATTTTGTGACTTCCAGTTAGTGAGTTAGTGAGTTAGTGAGTTAGTTAGTTAGTTAGTTAGTTAGCTGTTTTTTTTCTTGTTTTTTTTGGTAATAAAAAGTAATGGTAAAATGGTCGTCAAAAAACTTAATATCTTGGAATAATCTGTAAAGAGAAATAAGTTCATTTTATTTTATGAGTGGCTCCTTTGTACCTTTTCTTGTTGTTAAAAAATCTGCTATGGATGGATTCTGTAATTCGAACTTTTTGAACCATTATTCAAACAATCAATCAATAATAATTATGATGCAACTTTATTTTCAAATGTTTCCTTCAAAATCTGTGTTGCAGTATTCAACCATTTGCAAATCTGAAAAAATTCTTTTTATATTATGATACATAATTTGATATACACTTAAAATTTATACAACAATAATAATAATAAATTTTATATATAATATATAATATATTTATGTATATATTAACTATTCAATGTGAAGCAAAGTTACCATATATATATATATATATATATATATTTCCAACTTACAAAACATATGTAATGTTCACTTGAGCAGGTTTTGTTGTATTCATTGCAAACTTTCATTTGTAACAAAACACCTTTGTTAAATTTCTTAATTTTTTTCACTTGCATTTCATAAATCCATTTTTGTCAAAATTAAAAGTTATCCAAACAAAAAACAATATTATGTATAAAAACCCTAAAAGGATGTTATCCAATACTTTTACTTTTACTTTTTTATACTTTAATAATGAACACATCACCTCATGAGATTATTATTGTGTCTTGAAATTCACTCTCTTAAAAATTGGTGAATTTCAGTTCTATATATATATATATATATGAACACATAAAATTTATTTTCAATTGTAAATGCTATTGTAGTACATGGTTGGAAATCAATGTCAATCTCAACCAAACCCCCAATCAAGTCACAAGAGGAGGAGGAGTAGCAGAAGAAGAAGAAGAAGAAGAAAGCCATGCCCAATGTCTCCTATTCTCTTCTCTCTCTCTCTCTCCTTCCTGTCCTTTTCCTTTTCCGAATGGGAAAAAAGAAAAGAAAAGAAAAGAAAATCGAGGTGGAGGGTTGTTTTCAAACAGTTGGGGGGCGTGGCAACCGAGGACCGCGAGGAATCTAGCTGAGCCTTCAACCGGATCTATGCCCTGATTGTCGTTGTTGCTGCTTGTCTTGGTCTTGTTGTAGTAGTAGTAGTAGCACAGGTAGTCATAACAGTAATAGTAGTAGTCGCAGCAACAGAATTAGTGGCAGGAGCTTGAGCACAGCTGCAAGAGCTGTGAGATGACAGAGAGAGAGCGAGCAAGAGAGAGAGAGAGAGAGAGAGAGAGAGTATGCATGGCGCCGCGTGGGGGATAGATAATGCAGGAAAGGAAGCGGAGGAGGAGGAGAATGAGGAAGCGCGGGGAGGGACCGACGTGGGATCTACGGGAGGGAGCTCTCTGACCATGGCCCAGAGCAGAGTCGAGCAGTAGTAGCAGTACTACCAGTACTACTATTACTACAGGAGGAGGAATACGAAGAAGGCCAGAGAGAGAGCAGAGAGAGTGAGTAATAGTGAGTGAGTGAGTGAGAGTGAGAAAGCTGTTGCTGCTGCAAATGCCAGCACGTCACATTCTGTTGTTTTGTACCCAACCCTCCCCCCCCCCCCCTCCCCACACACCGCAGTTGCCGGCCTTTGCGTCCTTCCCTAAACCTCGCTGGTTTTCTTCTATTTGGGTACCTGTCTGCCTTGCTGCTGTTGCAGGGCCCTCCACCCCCTCGCATTCTCCTCCTCCTCTTGGCTGCCTCGCTGCTTACCTCTCGTCTGTGGGCGTGCTTTGATGATCTCTGGAGAGTTCCAGCTTTGTTTCCAGCTTTTGGAGTCAATGCCAGATTCAACTACGACGCCGGTGTTGCTGGGCGTTAGTGGGCTGTCCTGGGATTGGAGTGCTGTCATTTCGTAGACTCATGCATGCTCCCGTTGGAACGAGTTGGGAATGATTGACTCTAGTGAGGCTTTGAAGATTTTTTTCGTTTTTTCGGGGTTCTGTGTTGGTTTCGTGCTGGGTTGATGATAGCAGTAGTGGGTATCTGCGGTGTTTGGATTGGGTTTAGTTACGTAGTGGACCTGGATGGGGAGTTTCATAGAGGTTACGTCGAGAGTTAAGGTTCTTGTGTCAAGTAGCTCCTTGGTTTGAGAAATGGGGAGCATTACGAGTGGTCTGAAGGGCCAAATTAACTTTATCCGTAGAGTGTCTTCGGAGGTCCGGACAAGATCAGCGCGTGGTTTATGAGAGTATTCTACTCCAGAAGCGATCTTTTTATTGTGAAGAATATGGAAATCGTATCAAGCCGATGACAACCCACAACGGCGTCGCTTATGCATAGCCATGCAAGTTTTTTTTTTTCTTTGTATTTAAAATGCAGCCAGTATACTTTCTTAAACCTCCCGTTAAAGCCCAAACCTGGGGTAGTACTACTACTTTCGCAAAGATAACATGAGCCTCTGTTTCAACGATTTTCCATGCACTCTGGAACGCCGTCTCCTGCGTCATTCATGTGGTCCTGGATTTTCACACAAACTGCGCAGTGCAACATTTCTCAAGAACATAAGAGGTAGTTGTGAGTCGCTTCAATCGAACTCCCTGAGATGTGAATCTTCTCAACCTTTTCATTTCTTTTTTTGGCCTTGAGGGGTTCTCGCGGGTAAAACCAAGAATGCCAGATAACATTCTCTGCACATGAAGTCTGACCACACGACTTCCTCTTCTCAGTCCCAACCGCAAGTTCTCAACAGCATGGAAGCTTGCTACTCTTCACGTGGGGAGCTGTCAGCAAGCTCGGTACATTCTTGTGAACAGTTGCAGAGGCACGCGTGTAGTGTTCTTTTAGCTCCTTGACATTTTATCCGCTAATATAGTTGGGCATAATGAGGGCAGAGTGTCGCACTCGTTTGCAACCTGCCCTTCGATCCTTGTTTTTCCAAGCTCTAGCATCTCGTGTCTAATGTTTTGGAAATACGTTCCTCCAACCCGTGTGCAACGTTGGTGGCTTCGTCTAGAAACATATTTCGGAGCTCATAGGACCGAGCAATTGCAGAAAGCTACTTCTGTGCAACCGTCGATGAGCTACAATTGTATCCAGCAAAGCAATAGCTTCGTGCGAGTATTGGAGGAACCGTTCAAGCGTAAAGAGCAGTGCTTCGAAATGGAAGTTCAGATTAGATTTGCTGATAACATCGTTATTGTTTAGTCGGAAAATGATGATTTTTTGTGATTGTAAGTTAGGGAGTTAATGCTGGTCATGGCTGATTGCTGTTCTTGTAGATACGGAGGCTACGGAGGGATTCATATCTCTGTGTTCAACTCCTACGGCCAATACATTAGCCCGGCTTTTGCAGCGAGACACGGCATTGTTCTCTTCTGCAAAATTTTGTGACCGAGATGACATCTCAGGTATCCATCCACGTATATACTATTATGGTGAATCTTGGAATTGATCCTTGACTGAATAATGCTCAGATTGCGTAGGTTAGCTTGCGACATTCCGTTGTACACACATGATAATACTGTCTGAATTTGTGAATAAGGTGAAGGAAAGCTGTCCGCATGAGGATGAATGTGTATCGTCTTGCAGTAATAGTTCAGTTATGTCACTGCAAACGAATTTGACAGCATTTTCGGGCCATAGTGTAGTGAGGAGGCAGCAGATTTGGGTCATGTCCACAAGGTCAAACTTGTGAACAATCGTAGATAGATTATCAGAAATGGACAAAGGTGACTACTCCGAAGTGAAGGAGCTCATTACTAGCAACTCAAATCGCTCAACTAATTCTCTGTTCGACGGTGACAGTGTGGTCTTCTATGGCTCTACCAAGGATGAATCTTTTCCGAAGGTACAGCACGCAAGCAAGTCTCGTGTGTTAACATGATAGCTCGCTAATTCAGTGAATCCCATGGACAAGTACATTGTTAACTCTGTATGCTTGTTTCCGCAGGGTGGCTATCCCCGGAGTTCTAAAAAAAATGGAGGGGATGTCGCAAATAGACACGACTCAAAAGGTAAATCAAAATGAGGTTTTTTTTTCCAAAGTTGTAAGATTACGGTTCTGATCTGAAAATCCACATAGAGAGGGTGTATAAGCTGAATTGGACTGTTCGCTTGGCAAGACCTGATAAAATTAGATCTCATCATTTCCTTTTTGTTTTTTGTTTTTTGCTGCAGTCCCATACAACAATCAACGATCTGAGCGAGACCCAAGTGCGTGGGCGATGGTGCACGACGTTGGCCATAGGCTCCACTTCTCAGAATCAACCGCCGACATAGCTTTCGTAACCAAGAATGCACTGGCATTACGTGATGCACACTCCAAGGAGTCTCTAACAGCACCTTTCAAGTCAATCCAAACTCCTTCAACTGAGAAGCTGACTGCGGATGAATTTAGAGCAAAATTACAGAACGGAAACATGTCCCAGGCCCGGGCAGCAACGCAGGCAACAGCTGGTCTCATGGCAAACCATGGACCTAACAACATCTTCAGCTTCAATTCAAGCCGCAACGTAAAGGCTGTTACCGAAGCTGAGCCATACGAAGATGACAGCAACTGTGAGAAAGACAGCACGGCGAGCTTTGATTTCAACCGGGCTGCTGCAAATCGATCGATGGCCGGCCCTCTCACCAAGCCGACTCCATCAAAATGGGATGATGCTGAGAAATGGCTGTCTGCTGGCGAAGCAGCACCTGCAAAACCAAGGCTCAAGAACTCTCCTCTTTCTGCTCCATCTCAGACTGGTGCTCCAACGCTCTGTGCACGGAAAGGCGATGCGTATCCCAATCCAGAAGTGGACGGGCACGACGGAACCAACGGATGTGATGACTATTCTGGGGAGAACAGTTTCGATGGAGATGACATGTCGCTAGAGAAATGCAATAAATTCCTGGTGGATTGTACAAAGAAGAAAGGATTGCCAAACTTTGCCTTCATGCCTTCAGGAAAGCCCGTACCATTGCCACTACCGTCAGCAACCGTGGATCGGTACCCACTGGAGGATGTCTTTGGCCGTGACAACAGCAATGCCAAAGAAAGCAGCACGCATTTCGAAGCCCCTAATGAGCCATACTCATACCGGAATGTGAAACCGACTGCTGGAGTTCCCGTAGGTGCGGCACTACTCCATCTTTCTCTATAGTGTTGATTATGCCACATCTTGTAAGACGCAAGCAATTCTCGAACACTACCCATATGTCGCCTAGAAAGGTTGAAACCGATTTCTCGCGTGATTAACAAGCTCGATATCCACATGGATTGTATAATTAAGATTTACAAACTCAGTTCTGTGAATCACAAAAGCTTTCTTGAACTTAATAAATTTATTATATCAATTCGAGGTCATACCATTGATTGTAATCGCAGCAACTCGGGGAAAGGCAGCAGGAACGGTTGATGAGCCAGCAGATCCAAGCCCGACAATGAACTCGGACGACCCATCTCTGTATGCCGAACCTGGCGTAGTGAACATGCGAACAGTCTGCATGCGTGACATGGGCACTGAAATGACCCCAATGGCTAGCGTTGAGCCATCTCGAACCGCAACTCCATTAATGGCAACTACGCCAAATCTTGGAAGTCCTGCAAATTCACGGCCTTCATCTCCAGGGGGTACAAGAAATACCACACCTGTAAGCTTGGGCTCAAAAGGCGGTAATACCCGCCCTAAGATCATAGAGACTAAAACCGTTTTGTCTGGGAAGGACAAAACCCGTGCGGAGATTCTGGCCTTGGGTACCCAACTCGGAAAGACGAACATTACTGCATGGGCTACGAAAGAGGAAGAAGAGGCCGATGCTGCACAGGCTCTCAAGGCTAGTCTAGAAATGGAGGAAGTACGCAAGAATTTGTTGGCCAGTCGAGCTGCAGCCTGGGAAGAGGCTGAGCAATCCAAATATACTGCCAGGTGAGCATTTGTCACCGTCGGTTTCAAGTCTACAAAAATACCTGATATACTATATCATTCTATTAACAGTTGCTTGACAAGAGGATAACGACAGAAACACCAGCTAAGATCTGTAAAAATTATATTAGAGGAGATTCCATAATTTGCTGCATTGTAATATCCAGATTCAAGCGCGAGGAAGCCAAGATCCAAGCATGGGAAAACCATGAGAAAGCCAAGGCTGAAGCTGAAATGCGCAGAGTGGAGGTTCGTCCCTTGTCTCCTTGATTGCGTATTTCTTTTTCATGGTTCAGGTTATGCCAAGGTTGCTCCTATATAAACTCTGATAATGCTGTCAGAAACTAATGAAATTCTGGATCATTCTGACAAGGCTATAGTTATAGCTATCATCACACTTAGCTCTGGTTAGCAGAAAGCATGTCTCAATATAATATATATAATATATATAATATATATAATATATATAATATATATATAATATATATATACTACCATTTTTTTCTCAGTCGTCGCTACAGAGACGTATCTGCCATACAAAAGACCCTCTTCACATTCTTCGAAAATCGGGCAGCTATGTTGTTACCTTTTCGTGCAGACAATTCGTAGGGTCGGTGAGAGGATCGAGCCTGCAACCGTGCAGCATCGTGACTGTAAATAGTTGTGAATCATAATTAAAGTAGTAAGTTATATCTTGTAATAATCCCATGGGAAATAAATCTGACGGTCAATATCACACATAGTTCCTAATTTCTTGAGAATTTCAAAGGAGGCCCAGTGTAGACGTCAGTGTATTAGTTCATACTCTCTTCAAACCCAGTGGTTTCGAGTTGCTCGTACATCAGTCATCATCAGTAGCGCCAAGCCCTGTGAATGGAATGAAGGCCATCCTGCACTTAACCTTCATTCATTACATTAGCAGACTGAGAGTGGCACTACTGTCAGTCAATATCTTTGTCAGTTTCAGAGAATCCTCTATCTTGTCCTGTTGAAGTATTCTATCCATGTTTGCAAAATATATAAGCGTATATGATTTATACTACAGCCTTACACCTTTCAGGTGCCCCGGGTTTCAGGATGCAAAACGTAGATTGAACATCGGTTGACTGTACTGATTGGATGAGAAATCTCACCAGGTGAAGGTGGAGCGAATGAGGTCGCATGCAAATGAAAAACTGATGAACAAACTAGCAGCTGCCAGACGACGTGCAGAGGAGCTTCGTGCAAAGGCTGAGGCCCTTCGGTGTGAGCAAGCAGCCAAGACAGCTACTCGGTCTGAGGACATTCGCCGCACGGGGAAAGTCCCAACGTCTTTCTTTGGCCACCTCTGTGGGTGAGATCCCAGCCGCTGCCAGATTACGTAGCCTAGCAGCAGCTCCAAAGGTCACCACTCAGAACAGGTTACATCATGTATCAACTTAATCAATTTTGGGATTGTATCCACTGAATGAGGTTTCCTGCAGTCTAAGCTGGCATGGCTTGAACTGCACCCTCTACCTCTATCTGCAATTCAACAAAGGAATACTCACACAATTCCAATGCCACGCTTTTGTTTCGTAGTCAGAAGAGCCCTGCTGACCCAAACGGTTGCGATACCTCCATTGCCCTGTTCGAAATATTTACTGATAGAGAACAACCGGATGCTGGGCCACACTTCCTGATTCGATGTTGTCTTACGAAAAATTGGAATCAAAAAGTCATTGTACGTACATCAGTATGACAAGGTCGTTGAAAAAAATCATCATTCCTTGGTCGGGAATATTACATGTTGCACAAATAAAGCGCCCCTACTAGGAGCTATGAGTCATATTACAAACATAATCAATGTATGTAAAAATCTGGCTGCAAGAAAGCACTTATAGGCTACTCCTAACCAATTACAGAAACATCCCCACCATATTGGTCATACTCTCTGCGGTTTCTAAGTGCCGCAAATGCACCAATAGTCATGGTTGAACAATAGGTTCAGCGCTCCACAGCATGCGGGCAGAGTTGGCAACATTAAATTTCAAGATGAGGAGTTTCTGTTGAGATTCCATTGCCAGGGATACTGCTCATAAGATTAGAACGAAATGAGGTCTGGCATAGTGGCACGATGGACATGTCCTCTACCCACAGTTGATGGTTTTAACTCATGTGAGATATCAATGAAGTCGTCACCAGAGTACACACCTTGTGCATCTTCTGGGGCATATGAAGACTTCCGATGAAGTTGTCGAGGCTGGCTTGCAAAAAGACTTGTACTTCTTGGTAAAAGACCTTGCAGAGAATCAGTGGACAAATCCTAAACCGTTAGAAACTCATGTTGCGCCGGAATGTAATAATTACAGCTGTAGAAAACAAAGAACAAGAGGCATAACTTCTACCTGATATGATAACGTTCTCAAATTTAGAATGGCAATGCAATTCCCACAAATAATATGCTGGTCCAGGAATGTTTAACAGGACAATTAGCAAAATTGCAAGGGACAGATTATTTGGTTAGAGAATCCAGTGAGATGTAACCTACCGTCTTTCCTGAATGGCACATGAACTGACGACTCCGACCTTATCATGTATGAAGAAACAGTATGCTGTTTTGACATGCTCTGGATTGACTCAGTCAAAGTCTGTATGTCAAGCTCAGATGGCGTGTCTTCTTCCGGAAAAGGAATGTCAAGAAACAGAGAGAGTTCTTTGCAGCTCTCTAAAAACTTTTGCAGAGTTTGCATCTGACTAAGAGCTCTCTTGCAGTTGTGCAGTAAGCTAAAGCATTCAGAGAGCTCTAAGTTCTTGACTCTGGCTAACATTTCCTTGAGACGAACCCTAATTTCGTCGTGCACTTTATAGCTATCCATCACCACAAGCACCAGCGCCCCCTGAATGACAGGATGCTCCTCTGCCTCAGCGCTAGGCTTGCATTGACACAGCTCGTGCAGCAAACTCTGCAACACATCTAATTGATGCAAAAGCTCTCTAGAATCCGTGATCTCCACAGTATTCTGGAAGCTGTGACTTTTCCACCGACTGTCAAGATGAGACTTCAAGGCGCGACAGCAGCAGAGCCTTTCGTCTAAGTACCTAGCATATCTCTTTACCCAGAAAAAAAACGGCCAGTCGACAGAGCTGGGATCAGACTTGAAGTTAGGAAAACTGAGATAGCCCTTTCCTTCTTTGGTGGAATTATAAGCAAGTAGATCTTGAAAGAGGAAACCGCCGTCCAGATGGCACCGGTGTAAGATTATGAGACACTTAATTGCCACCGCCCAGCTGCGCGTCCTATTGAGCCTCTTCACAAGGAATCGCGTGCAGAACGAGACCTGCATACGAGAACCGCTACCTGAGGCAATAATTTCTTCCACATACTTCTCCAGGGGCAGACTCTCGGAATGATTCGTCGCCATCACCATTGCGATCTGCAAGTAGGAAAACGGCCCACTGGCTCTTGCTAACCCAGCAGCCGTCTGGTCCTTCAACAAGCCCAGCAGGACGACGAGCTTGCTCCGTCTCCTCAGCCATTCTGCCATACCCGAAGCCTCGCCAATTCTAGAGCTTCGCGCCTTCCTTGACACCAGCAAAGCAACTAAGGCTCTCAAACAGCCTCACACACCGTCCATCATCACCTAGCATCTAATCTCCTACCTCTGTTGCCCTCCATGTTTGTGTAGCCTTGCAATCGACCATACGAATCTTCTCACCTTGTCTCCATGGCAATAAGAAACCCTCCGAAACTGTCACCACGAAACCCACCTCGGGATTGGAAAAAGCAACGCATATTCAATTCAAGCACGGTGTGATCAGACATATCCGCCGAGGAAGTTAACGCCTACTACTCAGTCTATGGAACTCCATTGTGCTGTAAGAGACGTAGCTTTAAAGGAATCGTCTACCATACACACACAGATGTTGCACTCCGACAATGCAAATGCTTGGCCTCGCCACCTGGAGGGATCAAATTACTGACACTTAGCGCTGGGACCGGTATAAAGAAAAGCGGCGTTGGCTGTCGAAGTCGACATGACTCGCCGTGCACCGCCATCTCCCGCAGAAACGAACTCAGATAATAACCGGACGCAACCAGAAGCAGCCGGAATCAACCTCTCAAATCCAAACTGAAGATTACACAGCATGTGGAGGCTTAGAGTTGAAGCACAACCTGGCTGGTTGAAAAGGTTGCTCAAACACTCCAGCCCCTTCCAAGATTATCAAAAGACTGAGGAGTGGACTCACATGTCGATCCGAAACCTGGCTAGTAAGAGTGCTGTTGTTTATTTACAAACATTTTACTGGAGTAAACGGTACACACTATTTAAAAGTCTGAGATAACGGTACTTACTTTCAATAACGAAAAATTTCATTTATCTCACCAAAATCATGATACATAATTTTTTACTTATCTGTGAGTCGTATTGCTGCATGAGGTGAAAGAACATGAAGTAGCATTTGAAGTCCCATGATCATACCATAGAAACATGGCATTCTCCTGGCTTGCACTTAATACATTCCAAAACATTGGCCTGAGCCAGTGTATACAATTGATCCTCTGGGCCATACACGTTGGTGTATTTCTATCAACTCCTGAAAATCTTCAGACTTGGGAGCAATTTGCAATCAGAAAGCCAAAAAATCTGATCATGCTTGTATATACCCTTTAAGGGTGGCTTTAAATCAAGTGATAAACCCATTTACTACTTATATACAATGAGTGAGGTTTACAACCAGTGTAAGCTCAGGTAAGTGCTGCTCGAGTTGATCACCTAAGATGATCATTTCATTCTGTTTCAGGTCTATGGAGTATGTAAAGCCTAGAGCAAGAAATTGAACTAGGGTGAAGTTCCAAAACTAATTAGACTTTGTGAACCGACCAGTAAGCAGCTTCATAAGCCTCCACACAACTTGAATCCCATGACAGGTCCTTGGACATGCAATTCCGGACAAGTGTTGACCACATTTCTGGATGGCACTTCTGCACAATCAAGTTGTACACTGTATTAGTTCCAAGCTTTAATAGGTCGTTTTTCCTGTACAAACAAACTACATACCAAAGGAAATACTGCAAAACGGCAACTGAAGAATTGGAAATAGTTTGCACCAAGTTTTGTATTAGCGAGAAACTGGGGCACAAATGGAGAAAAACACTGGGTCACCAACATTACACATGACGAACCGCGATAAGCTTGTACGTACCCAGTAGGTCAAAGCATCATGTAATGATGTTATGGCATCGGAATCCTCGGTGCTATAAAATGGAAAGCCCGTTGCGTGTAATATGATATGTTGCTGCTCGTCCAAATTAATTATACTGCCATCCACACGTATGCCACCGTATAATATGTTAATAAATTCAGATTTGCTAACGCTCCAAGCATAAAAATCCATTAAATTCCAAACAATCAATGAAAGAAATAATTTCAGAGCGATGTCGATAAAACACTTCAGATTCACCTGCTAGTGATACTATGCACTTGCCGAGCTACAGGTACTGCACCATACCGCATACCAATCATCTGTAATAAACCAGCCAAGCATACTCATGTGCAATTAGTACAAACCTACCAGAAGTCTTTATGGAAACACAGAAAAAACGACGTAGAAACAGCTTCCTTGCCTAAAAGAGAACGCTGAACAAAGAATCAAAATGTTTCATAGTTCAAAAGTGCATAGGGTGATGCACGTACTACTGACTGACTTGCCGGTTCATACATATCAGGACTATAGAGGATGTCTGAAGCTGCCACAATTCGATGAAGCAAAGCATCATCGTTAACTCCCAGGAGACGGGCATTTGCATCCTAACAAACACCAAACCAACTCAACTCAGAACGACATTCCGAGTAGGCAACATCAGAAAGAGAGGATAAATTGAATTCAGGTTTTAGAAAACTTGGAGTGGAAATTACCGTATGGATTTGCTTGCCAGTCAGACGTATTCCTAATCCAGGATTGTTGTGGACAGCACAGACAAACTGCAATGGCAAGCAAAAGCATGTAGGATGATTATGAGCATCTATATGATAAACTTGTACGTTAGCATAAAAAGCTGTAGACGAGGATCTATTATCTAAAAAACTGAGCAAAGCAGCTCGCCTAGCGTTAGCTCCGGTAGTTGAGAGGTCTTCTCAAACCGTACTTTCGAGACATCCGGGTCTCCAACTGAAAGTTCCGACAAATAGTTATACGACAAGAGAGCAGAAGCTTCCTAAGCGTTAGTAATGAGAGTTCTCAAGAACCTGAGCTTCTTCTCCTACAGCACATTCCAACGCTGCTCTTATCAACTTGAGCTCCACTTCTGAATTTTCAAATAAGATGCAGCCAACCTATACAGAATGAAGAAACCAAAGTTCAAAAACCAGAAAAATATAACACATTCGCAAAAATAATTGGGACATGCAGCATTTACATAAATCAACATCTTCTCTTTCTTGCTCGTAAGATACTGAATTTTAGAACAAGCCCTATTCATCCAAGCAGCTTCAAAAATAGACATTCGACTTTATAGAGCAGTGCTTGAATCACAATATAATTGATGTGAACCCCGCTCATTGCAACAATGCAAATATTCTATGTGTAACATAAATTCAACTAATTCACAGCAATCTGTGATGATAAGGCACCCACCAAAGGCACAGAGTCGTCCACCATGGGTAAACCCAATTCTTGTCGAAGACTTGCCTTACACACTGACTTTCCTGCCATATCCTCCACAGAATATGTTTCCGGCAGTGCACAATCAAGTGCAGGATCCCACAAAACATCGTCCAAACCATTATATATGCCGATAAATTTATCCCTGCTTGAGGCACATACTACAGTCATTAGGCAAGAAAATAAGTCAAGTATTCACCAAGCCACTTCAGGCCTCACTCTTCTCTAAATTTACAGTTAAATTACAAATCTTGAAACTACTCAAAATCTAGCAAGTATTACTCTCGAAAATTATCTAACTACTGCATTCTACCCACTACACAAAGGTCACTGCACGATTCCTAAATGTTGATGTCCCTCTCTATGTCTCTCCGTCTCTTTCTCTATCTACCTCCCTCTCCTTCTGTTGAAAAGCAAAAAAATTACGTACTTGTGAGTATTCAAAGTCACATGAAGATCATAACCATGTTCCTTGGTCAGAACATCAGCTGCGTAAATTGGAGAAACTGTGGTTACTATGTTCGAATACACAATCCCGCCCTGAATGCACATACAAGATGTTATTAACGTAAAATAACGGCAACATATGAGCTGGTATAATTTTCGGGTTAAAGTAAGTAATACGAGTAAATAACTATAATAGGCATAAATTTCGTCAAATAAGGCTCTGTCGGAATTGGGCTGTACCTTGAGCATATTGATAAAACGAGGTTCTAAGTCATCCTGCAGCCGATCAGGCCTATTCAGTTGTTCTGGGTCCAAACCGCAAATAGCCAGTTTGTGGGGATCTCGAAGACACTGCATGAAAGAAGCTACAGAAAATCAATGACCAAAAAAGTAGGCGTCTTTAAAATTGACCTGAAAGTAACAAGCCAAAACTAGACGATAATCCCAATGCTAGTTATGCTAATATTCTGTCAAAAATCTTCAAATGAATAACAAAAACTTTAAACTCGGCATAGCAAAAAGTGACGAAAGATCTTTACTAAAGCTCTTAAGCAAGGCATCTCCTAATACAACGGGGGATTAAATCTCTTTCTGTTATCTCAGATAAATATGGTTTGCAAGTATAGGTATCAGCATCACACCTAGGATATTTAAACTTGATCAAGGTGCGTAAAGTCGCTTGATTACCTGATACCTGAAATCATGGCAAGTCAACACGAGACGAATATCCTGCAATCCCTGTCATAAATTGCCATTGACATGCATTAAGAAGCTAGTTAAGAATAAAATTGAATATACAGTTACAGCACCTTACGATAATGATTTCGCGTACATATGATAGTTGTAGATCACTGCAATTTACGTAAGATCCTATTGTAACCCACTGATTAGATTATCTTAACATAAATCAGTATCATGGGTCATAGGAAGATGACCATAGGATATGGTGTTCACCACATGCCCAAGTTACTTTAGGAGCCCTGATACAAAGTAAGATACTTGATATAATTTACAAAACACAGACTTCTAGAATTGACTTCAAGGGGGATGGACTTTAGTTGTAAGTCATTACGCTAAGACGACAAATACAAAGTAATGATTCATGGCGCAACACGGGAGTTGAAGCAAAGGTAAGGAACGAAGAAAAATGATATAGAAGAATATTGTCAAGCGAGATTAAATCAATGACCTACAAGTTTCATCAGATTGAAAACAAAGAACGAATCAAACACGATATTATCTTCGGATGCAAGAAGCATACTTGATGAGCATAATGTTCCCAGAACATGGGAGCAACCGCAGCTGTTTGCCAGTTGTGGAGATGAAGTATGTCGGCTTGTTTCCCCAACTTAAGCAAGTACTCCAACGACAATTTGCAGAAATACGTGAACCTGTCTCAGAGAATTATAAAGCTCATTATCCTCCGAATGTACTATATCACAGAAAACGATTTCATTCTCGGCTATGATAATCTGTGACACATTAAATGGCTGATGTCGTACCTCTCAAAATCATCATTATAGTTGTAAAACTCTTCGCGCGCAAAAAAGTTGCCAGGATGAAAAGGCTCTAATAGGGTAACGGCTATTCCATATAAAGTCCTGCAAGTAGAGGGGGAACATTTCCTTAAGCATGACGTGATACCAATATCAACAGCAGCGCCGAGGCACGTGATTAAGGGAAGACTGGAGAGAAGCTTGGGCATCCTAAGAAGACAGAGAAGAATCTCAAAAACACACGATGAATTACTAATTCAAGTGAGGAGAAATAAATCCACGGCATCTCTTACCCTATCCAGATTCTATTTTTGTGCCATTGATCACCAAAATAAATGTACAAATCTGTCTCAATCTCTCTAAGGTTGTCCACTGCACTGAGATCCATGCAGTCATACCTGTAAAATCCAACAAATATCAGAGCCCAGAGACAAGGTCGTAAATCCTCTAAAAGAGAAAAGAAATACTACTTTTATCACCTATAAACTTTGGACAATAAGCATTGTTGTTGGGTTAAGGGTAAGATTGTACTTGGGTAGAATCACCTCCACCAAGTGCCCATTCCGTCGCAGTGCCTTACATAAGTTGGATATATTAAATGATGCTGTTCCAGGTTGAGCAACAGGCGCCATTTCTGTGCATATATGGACAATATGAAGACTCCGCCTACAAAACCCCACCGGACAAATCGAAATCAGCACACGAAACAGAATGAACTAGCGAGTTTTGGCCCCTATTTAATGCAAAGGTGACACACTTCCTGTCGAATTATCCAGTTGAGAAGTGAACTTATGTTTTTTTCAATAAAACGGAGTCCCAGGGAGCTTACGAAGTTTCGATGAACAAAACCCAAGACTAAACACAGTATGTAGTTCCAATAACGTGGCACCGGCCCAAGAAAGGCAGACGGTGAAACAATTCATTAACTACTAACTAAATGAATTCATCCATTCAAAACGTATTAAAATATGAAACAAAACTTCCAGTTTCATAGCAGTCAGATGTAACAATCTAAAGTTCAATCGTCTACGACGAGATGATTGTACCTTCTCGTTGAACTTATAATCGAAAGAAGCCTAGCCGAAAGCTCCGCATCATTCCCATCCGCAAGTTTGAAAAACATGTCTGCAATTTGTGCATCACGTGCCCAAACAAGTTTACGCAAAGACGTGGCCTGCTCTATCTGAAGCACTCCAGTCAATGTCATAGCATCTATACGCAACAGAATCTCACTCCATATTGACGGGGGATTAAATCTCTTTCTGTTCATTTTGAAGCGTTTCATCGACCCTGCGGACTTTCCTGCGATGCACAACCCAAATATTAGTGATTTATTTATACGTAGTAAAATTAACGCAACATAAGACAGCTGTGCAATCCCGAATCAAAGAATAAACAGCCAACACTTATTGATAAGTATCCCAGATTATCATGAAGACTATTGTACTTGCACAGGATATGCTGAGAGCATCGCCAATTTTGAGGATGCTGGTCTGGAGATAATCTTAAAACCAATGTTACAAAAAGGGTGATAGCAGGTTGCTGAGCACTTGCGTACAGTTTTTTTCATGGACTATTCAAGCAGAGAGCATGCCGTACTTCTCCACATATATTTTATATAAACTTTTCAATGATTCAATGCTATGCCCATCTCTGGCCAGATAAGTAGCAGAAGATACTTTATTGTCCATAGAAAACCATGCAATCTTTCAATTATTTGCACTGGGAACTAGGTCTTGATACTTACCTTGACGTCCTGAAACGTGAAATGACATTTCAAACTGCTTGGCTTTCTGACGCAGTAAATCGCACTCGGCCATGCTGGCTTCATGTTCCGCTTTTAGCTGTGCAACACGAGCTGCGAGCAAGTCTCTCTCGCGCTCAACCTTTTGAAGCTTCTCGAATGCCGTAGTTCGGCCTGTGTTTAAGTGCAGAATGCCTGGCATTCTCCCGACGAAGCCCCAAAGGTCAGGTCATCAAGCAAAGTAGGAAAAAGCATGCACATGACATTGCTTAAATGGCATTCCCTTAACTCCGGGAATATTGCGGCAAGTCAGTTGACTGACTTTGTGATGCAGATCATGCACACGCGAATTTTTAAGCGAAAACCTAGATAATTCCCGTTTATCTGCCTCAAGTCTGTCCTCAACGTTATTGCAGACGATTATTAATGCACGAATGTATGAGAATTTCTGAGATCTGGTGAATAAGGTGTTATGGAGCAAGTGAAAAATTGTTGCTATCTGGCAGCTCTTTAATTCGCCATCCGCCATGCACTTACTCTGCTGTGCATCGTCAATAAGCTGCTTCATGTCAACTCCGAATATGCCATCCCCGTCTGTAGCTATGGAAATCTGAGCAAAACAACGATCCGCTCCAATGCAATTAGTTTGCAGTAGATTTAAGGGCTGTGTTGATATTGAACAACCCTCCTCGAGTTGCAAGTCCACTTTTAAAGTCATCGTAGCGCTTGAGAAAAAGAGGTGGCAGATAGTCAACAAAAGAGACTAAACAGGCAGAATGTATCCCATGAATGTGTCGTTCCTGGCATTTCCAATTCCTACTTCTACACTCCTTTTTCAACTAGTACAGAAAAAACATTCTTTCTTCTTTTTCCACTACGCCCATCACCTGCCAGATTCTCAACTCCCATTAACTTTTCTTCACTACACTTGCAAAAAATGACAGGCCAGCTTTTCACTTTTGAAAATAATCTCTACAAATTACATTCGGCATTAACCGCATATTACCTCCGTTAATCTGTCCTCTCCTATTCCTCGATCTCTGCATCACAACAAAATGCAGCAAACGATGGAAGATGTGATTAAACACCTACGATCACTCGAAAGACGACACTTAAAATGACTGTCCGCAATTTTCCTCAAAACAACTCTCAAAAAATTCGGGTGCTCCGCTCACATTCCCCCCCTCTCCTAAGAAAACAAAACAAAAAAAAAAAAAAAAAAAAAAAAAAAAAAAAACTCCACACGTCTTACAAATCATCTAGGTTAGCAGAGCTGAAACTGCGTAAAAATGCACTAACCCAACAGGCGGCTGAATGCAACAGGAGACACGATGGCGACGACCAAAACCACGAGGGGCAGCAGGCAGCGCAAGAGCGGCAGCATGCCACTTGTTGTTAGCTGCAGCCATGTGCTGCATTACGCTCATTACGAAAGCTGCATCCACGAGCGCAGATAGTATCACAGAAACAGAGCAAAACACAGAAACAAAGATCTCGCTGGACGAAAATTAAAATTAAAAGACAAAATCTCAGTCTCGTTTGCTTCTCCCTGGAAAGCTCGCAATCCACGCCAATAGCATCTCTTCCACTCTACACGCCCACTTTATGGTAATAGGGTAACAACGCCGGAATGTAGCCTCCTCTGAGTACCCTCAAAACAACAACAGCAACAACAACAACAACAACTAGCCCCTGTGCAAATAAAACAACCCTTAAACCGGTTCTACCACATTCTGCGGCAAAACCCATCAAAACTTCACACATCCATCCATCCCATGCCTCCTCCTCCACCTCCTCCACTGCATCCGTGTGTGTGTGTGCGAATATACAACTCAGCTCCTCTTTGACGAACCACAAATCCAATGCAACAACACCTCATGTGGTCTGTTTCACCTTCTGCGCCACATTCTGTTTCACCGCACTCTACTCCCCTCCCATACCCAACTTGCGGAACGACCCAATTCATCAGATTCACACGCTTTCTCCTCGCCGCAATTGCAATGCATCGGAGCACGATTCTGCACCATAATCCTACAAAAATGTTAGCAAGCTTCTTCTATCACACATTGTCCACGTTATTCCACTTTTCTTTTTTCTTCATTTTTCTCTTCTTTTTTCAAAATGGATAATGGGGTCTCCGTTGATTCGTTTTGTCATACATTTGTTGCAGTTTGGGAGTGATAGGTTTTGTGAGATTGGAGCTTCAAGTGTGGAACAGTGCAAGTGTAACATTCAAGGCACTTACTTGTGGTCTTTCAAACTCTTCTTCTTCTTCTTCTTCTTCTTCTGATTACTTTGTTATTCTTGGCCTGTTTTTGAGGAGGAAAGTGTGTTTGGGAGCTTTAGCATGTGTTTGAGTTTCGTGTAGGAAATCGCTCATTTGTATCTTTTGTGATGTTGAGTGTCAAACTGATCATACTTCAGGTTGATGTTATGACATTTTCTCAAAAGCTGGTTATATTGTTGCAACATCAATCTATGGTGTTGTAAGGGGAAAAAAAAAAAAAAAAAAAAAAAAAGAAGAAGAAAAAAAAAAACATGATGTTTCACTATAATGTTCTGCATGAAAAAGCTATTGTTTATAAAAAGAACAAAAACACAAACCTAATTTAAAGTCATTTATAACATCTGATTTGTGTTTTTTTAAAATACTAAAATATGTAAGAATAGTTTACAAATATGCAGATATATAGTGATTGTCTCTTAATTTATTTTTATGATTTCAATTAAGTGAAACTTAAATTAAATGATACATTTGAATTTAAAACATTCCTCTAACTTAATTCATTCTAGGTTCCCAATTTAATCTTATTATTGTACCATGGCTAAACTAGAGTATTTTTATTACACAGTTGTTGTGATTGTTTTTTTTTTTTTTTTTTTTTTTTTGATTTTTAATTTTTGGTACACATAGAGTCTGATAATAATAATACAAGCCTCTCTACTATAGAACATTACCCATTGTTTGATATTTATTGTTCTTTATAGTGCATAAAGAGCTTGGTTGGTATTCATTGTGGTTGATTAATTTAGAAACAAGAAATGTAGAAGTTTTTTGGAAATTCGATTTTTTGGAATTTTTTTTATTATCACTTTTTTGTTTGTTTTGTTTTTTTTTGTCTATTTCAAAACATTCTGGCGAGGTTATGGTTTATGTGGATCTCCACTTAAACTGATAGAATTTAATTTGCAATCAGATTGAATTTAGAGAAGATGGGGTTGTGGTGAAAGAAGTAAAGGTGGGACAGTACAGACATGAGACTATATAACTTGTTGAAAATATTCAATACATAAAAAATAAAATAATATTATTATTTTATTATTTTGTATCACCAAAAATATTCATTTTTTATGATTAAATAGCCCTCAATGACTTTGAGATTATCTCCAATGATTATGGTATATTCATTCAAAATTAAATTGTAATATTAGTAAATAAAGTGCATGGATCATTGTCATTGTTGTGTCTTAAAAATAATAATAATAAATATTATTTTTAATAAATCATAAAAAACACGATTTTATTATTAAATTTTAATATGATTAAATAAAAAATATAATAAATAACATATGAAAATATAATTATTACAAATGAATTCAATTGGATTTCTCAAAATCAAGCATAGTAAAAATGATCACACAAACAACTACTATAATAATCATCTTAATACTTGCAAATACAACTTCAAAATTTTGCAAAATAAGCCTAATCAATCATACATCATTTTGTCACAAATATACATATTTATTTTAATAATTACTTAAATAATATAAATACATAGAAGTAAGCAAAAGCATCTAAATCTAATAATATATTGTGAAAAAAGCTTCTTAGAAGTTCATAGATGCAACTTTGCCTTTATATATGTCTATAGATAATTGGTCGGTTGAAAACTTGGCAAACAAGTTGCCTACATGTTGTACATATTGGCCATTTATGATACAAGTTAGACATATGGCACATATATAAGAAGCTTGTCGTAAAAATTAGACATGTGTCATACAAGTTGAACATGTGTTGGAGGTCCTATAGAACATTGTCACATAGCTTGTAATTAAATAATATATATAGAAATAAGAGTGAAGCCATCTTCACTCATATCAATTCTTTTCTTATTTCTACTCTAGTTTTCTCATCTTTTGGTAATAACCATTTTAATTATATATATATAATCATTTTTCTTTAAAAATATTTTACTTTTTAATTTATATTCTTTGAATTCTTATTATTGACAAATAAATAAGAATACATCTAAAATATTATATCTTTGTCTTTTGTTGATTAAGAGTAGATTATCTCTTTTTCTTAATAAGACATAAGCATGTTAGAAGTTGTAGAATATTCACTTCTAAATTAATATTGTTCTTCAAATTTTCTTTGTTATCAAGTCTTTTTTTCTACTTGTCTTAAGTGATATTAGATATCTCATTTTTTATTGTGTTATTGTAACAGAGCTTCTTGAAATGAAGAATGCAATAATACAAATACAAGAACAAATGAGAAATTAATGTTTGCAATGCATCAACTTAGTTTATTATCCCAAGGAATAATAAAATTAGGAAGAAGTAAAGATATGGAAATAATGTAAATTGCTTCAATATATATACCAAATATTATTACTTATCTCACAAAAAAACATTGTTCAATTGTTAAAAAATCAAGAATTGTCTTACCTAAGAAGTTTGATGGCACAAGACCAAAATTTTAGAGATTCTTTAATTAAGTAGAATTAGTGATTGGACCTCAATATCAAAACTATCCAACTCTACAATTACAAGTCAAATTTATTAGAATATTATTTTCAGGTTTTATTTTATCATGATTTTTTCTTTTTTTGAATGACATGATCTAATATTAAATAATTTAGAGGCTATTACAGCAAAATTTAGATCCATGTATGGAGAATATAATGCAATTTGTATTACAACCAATATGATTTATATTTTACAATAAAATAATCAAATAATAATATTATATGTTTTATAATTTCAACAATTTGTGGTTCATATTAATTGAAATAATATTACACTCATTAGCCAATTTTTTATAGATTATAATATGAGGTAAAAAAATTGATGCTAAATTTATTGGATCTTTAAATATTTAATTAAGTAATTAATTTTATTGTAAAGTGTGATAATTTCACAAATATATATTTATTCTAATATTTACTTAAATAATATAGATAATTAGAAATAAATAAAAATATATTAAATTCATAAAATCTTGTAGAAAAGATTCTTAGAAGCTTTATAGATGCAGTTTCACCTTTATATCTATCTATAGATGATTGGTAGCTTAAATACTTGGCCAATAAATTAGCCATATATTGCACGTGTTGATAGCTTGCAGCAGAAGTTAATCATGTAGTGTACATAGAGGAAACTTGCCTTGCAAGATAAGACATGTATTTTACAAATTAGACATGAGTTGAAGGTCGTAAGAACATTGCTATATAGTTGTTAATTAGATAATATATATGGAAGTAAGAATAAAGCCTTCTTCACTCTTGTCAATTTTTTTTTTTTGCTTCTAGTGTAGTTTCAAGGGTCTTTAGTTTTCTTATCTATTTGCAATAGCCATTCCAATTTCTTATGAATATGCATATTTATTTATTTGTAATTTGACATCTTTTTTTGAGAAAAGTCTCACTTATTCATTTTCCTTTATTGAATTCTCCCCCTTGACAAACAATCAACTTTTAAATTTTTGATCTGAAATTGCACAAGTAAGCCTCAACATTTTTATAATTCAATGGCAATATTAATTTTTTCTCAATGAATATACTTCTTCTAAATATGAATATTTTCATGCAATAGTTGCAAATTTGTTCTCACTTTGACTAAGAGTAGCATCCATAATTTTTTCTTCCATAGACAACTCAAATAAATTCAAAATTCAAATTAATAAAAGATAATCTACAAATTCTAATATCAAATAAAAATTTCTCCAAAAAAAATAATATCCTCTCTTTAAAGAAAATAATTAGTATTTAGAAAATTAAATGTTGGTTTAAAGATGGATAGTCTACAATGTTTATAAAAACAATAAAAGAAGTGAAATAATTCACTTACTTCTAAAATAAAACAAGAACAATAAATTAATACGTTTATTAAACTTTCAAGGATATGAATCCCAAAGGACTAAAAGTTCAAATCACTCTTATATTAATCAAAATAACTGAAGAATCAGTCAAAGATAGTATAATATAAAATTAAGTTAGTTATTGCCAAAAAAAAAATACTATAAATTCTTGAAATAAAACCAAGGACTAGAAAGGCATTGATAAGAGTAAAGAAGACTTCATTCTTGTCTCTATAGAAACTATTTAATTAAAAGCTATGTGGCGACGTTGTCATGATGTAACACGACTAATAGGTGAAAGAGTGTGGAGATTATTATAATTTAAGAGATCTTAGTTCAAAGTATTAGAACAAATTATCTTAGAAATATAGTTAATAGTCAGAAAAATTAAAAGATACCAATGTTGCCTTTTAGAGAGGTAACTTCTACTTACTTTGTAGCACCATAAGTAAGGCAAAATAAGGTAGATTGGAAAAACAAATGATATAGACATCTTTAGGAGGAAGTTAAGAGTAAATTCTAGAAAAAAATTACTTAGAAAAACTAGATATTGATACCCGGAGAGGACCGGTTATGAATCAGGGTCGAAATCAGCCCCTAAGGCACAAAACCGAGTCTCGACGATGATTCCGAGACTCTTTAGAGATTATAGAGTGAGTTTTGATAGCAGACTGAATAGGCTCTCTATGAGCATTAATTTTGGGTGATTCGGAGTTGATATGACTTTGTAAGAGCTTTGTAAAGTCAAGGTTTGTTTTGGATGACTTGGATTTATGAAATAAAATAGGGTTTACATTTTGGGTGATTTAAGAGTTTTATAATAGATCTATAGGTGAAATTTTGTAGATTTATGGTTATAGTTGTGTTTAATATGTATTGTGAATTTGAGCTCGATCTAACGGTTGAATTGAGGGATATTGAGGTTTAAGTGGGTCAAGATCTCAAAAAGTAGAATTTTAGGTCCAGTGGAGTTTTTTAAGATTTCTTACAATCTACTAGTTGGATTGGAGTGAAACTTATGTGACAAGATATTAGACTTGATTTTCTATGTATATAAGAATTTTGAGATCAATTGAACAATTTAAAAGAGAGATATTGGCTCTGGAAGATTGGCATCAAGTTTGGAGAAGGAGGCCAACCAATACCC